ATCCGACTCAGAATAGCAACCGAGACTGCTGGAGCACTTTCATATTTACACTCTGCGGCCTCTGTCCCGATCATCCATCGAGATATCAAGCCAACGAATATACTTCTAGATGATAATTATATAGCAAAAGTATCTGATTTTGGAGCATCCAAGCTAATTCCTACGGATCAGATTGAGTTGGCTACTATAGTCCAAGGAACACTAGGCTACTTAGACCCTGAGTACTTGCAGACGAACCAGGTGACAGATAAGAGCGATGTTTATAGTTTTGGGGTCCTACTAGTAGAACTTCTAACTGGAAAGAAGGTTCTTAACTTTGATAGACCAGAGAAAGAAAGAAACCTTGCCATGTATTTCTTGTCTTCTTTGAAAGAAGGGACACTCTTCCAGGTTCTTGATGAACACTTGCTGCTAAATGAAGGTATTCCAAACGAGATCGTCAATGTTTCAAGACTTGCCGAAAGATGCTTGCGTGTGAATGGAGATGAAAGGCCTACCATGAAGGAAGTGGCAATGGAGCTGGAAGGAATATTGGCATCGATGATACAGAAGCATCCATGGGTGCAAACTACTTCAAACGAAGAAGAATCTGAGTATTTGCTTAAACAAGCAATGGATGACTCTGAATATACGAATGCGACCAACACCAGCTCGATGACCTTCGATAGCATCAACAAGCAGACTATATTACCCATGTCTAGTGGTAGATAAATTAAGGAAGAGTTTTATCTATATCATTATTAAGATGCAATCAAATAATAAAGAATTGAAGTTTTTCATATACACAAATCTATTCTGATTATTACAAAGCATCGATGATTGAAAGATGAAATCATTTGGTGTCACGTAGAATTGAAATGTTGTTATATCTTCAATGCAGTAGCCTTACACATGGGGCAAACGTTTTTACGCAAAAGCCAAGTCTTGATGCATTGTGCATGATACCCATGTCCACAGTCTAGTCTTGCCATCTTCTTGTATTCATCATATCCATCTAAACAAATAGCACAGATATCTGATTCTTCTTCACCTTTGCAATTGCAACCCGTGTTCTCTTGTGCTGTCTTCACTTGTATATGGTGTGTGATTGCTTCCTTCGATAATCCGGAACCAGTAATAATACTGTTGTTGACTGCTTCTTCTAAAACAAGACTCTCCTCTTGTTCGATTCTGAGCGAAGTGTTTTCCAGATAAGCTTCGAAAGGATGAATTGGAGGAGGAAGGTCAGAAGTGGTTCCATATGTGTCCAAGAATATGTTTTCTGGCCTTCGATCGGGTACCTGCAGAATCTGGGTGTACGAATAAACAGGTTGTTGATCGATCGTTACGAGTGGGTGGACATGACCGTAAGTAAAAGGGGTATTGAGAATGACAACTTGGTCAACATACTCCACCGATGGTTGTGCGTTGAGGACTGCGTAGTTTGTATTACATATCAAGAATAAATTAAATCATTGATTTAATTTATTCTTTCCATAACTGTTATAGTAATCATTTCCATGTAAAATGTAGCTGTAAATGTTTACCTAATTTAGCTCCTAATTAGTCTCCTATCTATGTATACATCCTGGCTATATATAGCCCCTTTGTAAATTGGTTTTATACACTGAAATACAACAC